TTTTTGTTGTTATATACCTGGATGACTGAGAAAACAAACTTTGTGTAAACTAAGATATTTTAGGTACCAAGTTTGCTACATGGCAACTTTTTGGAGTAATTTTTACACAAATCTCAATTACGACGAAAAATAAAATACAAACTTTTCTACTTGTTCTGCAGTCCGAGCTCATTCTGCAGCATGGTTCACATGCAGCCAAACATCTTCACTGAATTTGTAACACAAACCATTAACAAAGATGTTTTAACTAATTTAATGACATACTTTCCTTTGTAACTCATGAATTACAGATACATTTATTTTGTAATTAAATTACATATTTCAGTTTATTGCAACTATTAGAGCTGCTGCCTCTCAGCGAGCAGGTCCCTGGTTCAAACCCCGGTCCGGGGGCCTTTCTGGGTGGGGTTTTCATGTTCTCTCCGTGCATGCCTGGGTTTTCTCCGTGTACTCTGTTTTCCTCCCACAGACCAAAAACATGCATGTTAGACTGACTGGTAACTCTAAATTGTCCCTAGGTGTGAGTGAGAGAGTGAATGGTTGTTTGTCTCTATGTGTCCATGTGATGGACTTGAGACGTGTCCAGGGTGTCCCCCGCCCCTCGCACAGTGACTGCTGGACATGGGCACCGGCGACCCCCGTGACCCAAAATGGAAGAAGCGGGTAAAGATAATGGATGGAGTTTCTTGCAACTAGTTACTTCACTGCCCTGCCAGTAAACCTCTGGGCTGAGACAAGTTGGTGAACGGCATTCATGGGCGAGTCTCCAGTTTGTCAAAGCTAAAAGGAGCTAAAGAAAAAAGCAAAACACAAACAAAAAGTAGCAAAAAGCAAATTAAAAGAGCATAAGGTGAGCTATACAGGCTTTGAAAAAGTAGTTAAGTTTTCTAAAGGTAGCAAAATGTTAGCGAAATGTAGCAAGTGGCTTTTTACATACGATTACTAAAAATAGCCAAAAGTTTTATAAGGTAGCAAAAGGCGAGCTAAGTGTAGCATATAGCAAAGATCAGTATTTTCCACTGCAGCTCATTCCGACTCGTTTGGCAGGACAGGTCACAAACGATCTTTGTCTCAAACTCTGAAGAGGAGCAGCGGGTGATGAGCATTCCTTCCAGGAACCACAGGCCCGTGGTTCAATATCTTTAAACTTGTGTAAAATCAGAGAGATGAAAGTAGCTCAGGTCCAACATTTCTTCTAGAACATGCCAGGTAAAAAGTGCATTCTCTTTCTGTTCAAGTTGTAAACAAAACTACCCAGGGAGACGTGGTCGTCACCAGTTGCTCCCTGACCTCCGACCCTCAGAAACCTCATTTGCACCTTTAAACTGAAACGTCTGAGAAGCCCAGCTGCACTACAGAAATACCAGAGGGAGGTTTCCTGCTGCATACCCAACAGCAAACCGGTTTTTACAGAACCAGTTCAGAAGGAGACAAAAACCAAAACCACTACGGTGGAAAAAACTGCCGGAAACCTCCTGAAACCCAAAGGTGCAGGTGAATCCATCGGAGGCCTCTCTCACTCTCAGTTTTAATTTTTTAAACTTTATTTATACAGGTAGTCTCACAATGACTCATTTTCAAGAGAGGCCTGTTTGGGAGCAGAAGGTGGGGGTTAAGGGCCTTGCTCAAGGGCACAGAGTGGGGCGAAGGAGGGTGGAGGGAGGTGTGGGTGTTTCACCTTTTCCACCCACATTTTGATGTTGTCGATCCAGGCCAGGGAGTCAAACCGACAACCTTCCGATCACAGGCCCACCTTCTCTAACCTCTGCACCACCACTCCCCTAAATCTGAATCTAAAACCACAAGAATCTTTCCCACAAAATTCAGCTTTTAAAGAAGGGAACTTAAAATATCCAACAGCGACTCAGAAAATCCCTTTGAATTAAACGTTCTCCAAACAGACATCTACAACAGGTAAGATGTTTACTCACACCTTTAGCCCCACTTTAAAATATGTTAATTATCCCTTTATTTTGTTAAGCCTACTAAATGACAAGGTTCGGCTGATTTTAGGCCAAAAAGTAAAAAATGTTGAACCCTTAAAATAATCACTTTAATAAAAACAGTGTTTCGTGTGTGACAAGAAACACTTGAAGCAGAAAAAACTAGGAAAATGTCTGACGGGTTCACTTAAGGCCTGAAACCAGTCGGTCGAGTTGACGCAGACCGTAAACCAGCAGGAGGAGGACCCCTCAGGGCTCGCAGGAGTCCTGACGAAGTACATTCACACGAGAAACACAAACATTCCCTGACTGAGTCTGAGGCGGTTCTGATCGGACCGACCAGACGGGTGCAGCGACACAATCCGGCAGAGGAGCTAAACCAAGATGCTAACTGGCTGGAAACCAGTTTCTGTGCAGGACCAGGGTCCACAAACTCAGGAATTAACCCAAATTTAAATCAAATTGGACGCCCTTCTTTATGAGCTGAAGTTATTTTAAGAGCCAATAAATACAAATGATTTAATCTGTGATTTTGTCTCATGTGAGCCAAAGAATCCAATTTTTTTTTTCTGCAGCGAAAGATGTTGAATAGAAACAACCTTTGATTAATTTAAGCTGATAAGAAGTTTGTTGTTTCAGATGCTTATCGGTTTGACAAAATTATGAATTAAAGTGACAGTAGATGTTTAGTTTGATGCGTTCAGCTAAAACTGGGTTAGCACAGAGTTGTTACAGCTAAAAGTAGCAGAACACTTAATGTACCAAAAACTAGCTAAATGTAGCAAAAGGCTAATTTAATGCATAAAAAGCAAGTTAAATGTAGCAAAAGGCTAATTTAATGCATAAAAAGCAAGTTAAATGTAGCAAAAGGCTAATTTAATGCATAAAAAGCAAGTTAAATGTAGCAAAAGTCTAACATACTGTATAAAAATGTAGCTAAATGTAGCAAAAGGCTAATAGAACGTATAAAAAGCTAGTTAAATGTAGCAAAAGGCTAACCTAATGTATAAAAAGCTAGTTAAATGTAGCAAAAGGCTAACCAATGTATAAAAAGCTAGTTAAATGTAGCAAAAGGCTAACGTAATGTATAAAAAGCTAGTTAAATGTAGCAAAAGGCTAACCTAATGTATAAAAAGCTAGTTAAATGTAGCAAAAGGCTAACCTAATGTATAAAAAGCTAGTTAAATGTAGCAAAAGGCTAACCTAGTGTATAAAAAGCTAGTTAAATGTAGCAAAAGGCTAACCTAATGTATAAAAAGCTAGTTAAATGTAGCAAAAGGCTAGATAAATTTAGAAAGGGATGGAGAAAAGTTGATAAATATACAATAAATATATGGTTAATGTACGATAAATGTAGCTAAAGGCGAAATGTAACAAAAATTTACCGTAACTAAAAACCTAATGTATCAAAATGTAAAGTAAATGTGTCAAAAGTCTGGCTAAAAGCTCAGTATATCACAATCTTAACTAAATGTAACAAACGTGTTTCTAAAAGCTCAATGTAGCAAATGTTTAGATAAAGCTAATGCTACAAAAGGCCAGCTAAATGCTAAATGCTAAAAGAAAACACCAAAGCTAATAATAATATAGCGAAACTTGACACTTAACTTTTATAAAGACGACGTCTAACAAATAATTTTAATTTAAGTCATCCTCCTCTCATCTCTGTTCTTTATTTCAGATTGTGAAGATGGAAACACATGAAAAGATGAAAAAAACATCCGTAATTTAAAATCATGTTTTAGGATTGTCCTCCTTTAATTAATTTAAGCCAAGCACATAATAAACTAAGTTAAAGGTTAAAACCATAATTTATAAAACTTCAAACCTAGAAGTAACACTTCAGCTGTTCTTTAAGAAAACTTATATTCAGAACTTCAAGTATATTTTCACTAAAATAACAAAAATAAATCTGTTTGTAGAGTTTTAGTGTTAACTACTTCCGTTTGCAGCTTTAGGCGGATAAGCCAAACTCTGTGTGTATTGTCCCATTTTTAACGTTTCCTCGTGGTTCTCAAGTAATAAATCGAAAAAGACTTTGTGTTTTAGACTCGTTACCAGGACAACGATGATTTTACGTTTTTGAACCAAAACTTGAAAATGAAGGTCCGTTCTAGAAGATCCAGTGCGCGTGAGGAGCTTCGAGCAGAAAGTTACATCCGCTGCTTTGGAGACTCTTCCAACGGATCAGTGACCGACCACACAGATGACGGGATTTCGAAGTCGTGCCACATGTAAAAAATCTCACGTCTGTTACGGTAAACCCGTGACGTTAAGGCGTTCCGTGGAGATGTGTCCGTGGAAAATGGCCCGCTGTGCGAGGCTAACACTAAGCTAACTCTGCTAGCTCGGCTTCCTGCTCAAAACAACTTCTCCGACAAGCGGGCTCACGACGAGATAAGCGGCTGCTCTGTAGGAAAAACGCAACATCTGACGGAACAAACGTGTCCCTGCTCTTACGATTGGGGGAAAACATTCGTAGAGTACATTAAAAAACAGTGTGAAGTCGATGCGATCACTCACCCGTCCATTGCACAACGCGGAACTACTGAGCAACAGGTTCCAGCCAGCGACCAGCAGGATGCCCCGTTCCACCGAAATGGAGTCCTGCTGGAGGCGCGCTCTGATTGGACGGATCCCCAGACTTTGTGGGCGTTTCCTCGCAGAGTCGGGCGGTGATTGGCTGAAGCGCAACAACAAAGAGACGAGATTCCACAAATCCAAGATTCTTTACGCAAAAAATGATGCGTGCTTCTGTACGGGAATGTGGACAGCTTCTCTCTCCGTGCAGGTGGGCGTTGTCAACCTGACCCCCACCCCCAAACAGTCATCAACCTTATGGAATGGTATATATATATATCAATCAACCTTTATTTCTACAGGTAAATCCCATTGAGCTTCGAGGACTCATTTACAAGAGAGACCTGATTTCAACAAAGAAAGATGACAACAATGGACAACAGCAACAACAATAAACAGTTATAAAAAAGCATACTACAGTTTTTTTTTTGTTTGTTTGTTTTTTAACAAATAGGATGACTAAAAGGAAAAGGTAACAAAACAAAAAACAGCTAGATTCCAAGACAAATGTAGAAAACTAAAAACATATATAAAACTAAAAAAAAAAAATATATATATATATATATATATATATGTATGTATATATATACGTTTCTTGTAAATGTTATCTTTCAAACACTTTGTTTTGCTTCATTTGCTGAATTTAGTCTACTCATTTTGTCAAAGTAATAGTTAAAACTTTTCTGTTGGACTCCTGGCAGGGACCGATGCAGACATGTTCCTGTTTCTAGTTTTCTACATTTGCCTTAGAATCTAGCTGTTTTTTGTTACTTTTTTTTTAGCCATCCTATTTGTTAAAAAACAACAACAATTGTATGACTTTTTATAACTGTTTATTGTTTTCATCTTTCTTTGTTGAAATCAGGTCTCTCTTGTAAATGAGTCCTCGAGGCTCAATAGGATTTACCTGTCTAAATAAAGGTTGAATGAAAAGAAAAACTTCTGAAGAACAGAATTAACTGATACTGAACTCTATTTTGCCTAAAAAGTATCTATATTTTACCGCTGCTCCTCCATGATGCAGATCCACCCAGAACTGATACAAAACCGTATCCATTATAAGTGTTGGGCCATTCGTCAGCGCTTACCATCTGATTTCGCTCTTTCTGTTGGGTGTCATGTAACAAGCTGATAAATAATTCCTCAGTGTACTGGAAGATGGCACAGCTGAACATACAAATAATTCAGAAGGCATTAATATATTATCATAAGGCAAGAGTTGACTGAATTTCATTATAACAAACTAGCTTATTTCGTGAAATTGTTCGTTTTTAGGTTTATTTATTCTAAGAATAGTAACATGTTAATTAAATATAATTTTATTTTTAAAAATCCATGTTTTTATCATTTGGCCTCAAGGGGGCAATGTCGAGCACCGGTTTGGTATTTCTAGCCAACAACAGATGACGAGGGAACAAAGTGGCACGCCATTGGTCAGTCTTTTTGCAACGGCTGTTCCTATTGGTCCGCTGAGTTACCCCGCCAGTGGAGTTTGGAAACAGCGCCATAATCAAACTGGGATGAATTTTTTTGTCTTTTTTTTAAACTAGCTTGTTAATAATAAACGAGAAAGAGTTCGGTTCGAGATGTGAGTCTTTAGATTTTTCAGTAACTACCCCACAGGTTCGGGTCTGGTACCGATTGTGAAGTAAAGTTCGAGCCGATGCGGGCGGCTAACCGGGGAGGCTAACGTTAGCACACAGCGGTGTCTCCGTTGTTTATTTACCGCCCGCAGCTCCGCTCCGGTCGGCCTCAACAGGGATGAGCTGCCCGGTGAACCTTCAGGCCCTGCCCGCTGCAGTCTTGGAGGAGGTTTTCACTCCGGGGAACATGCGAGGAAGGTGAGATTATTGTTAAAATTGTGATGATCTGGCACGTCAACGATCTTTAATCTGGATTTTAAACGTGCAGCTGTCAAAAGACTCAGGTCTGCACCTCCTAATTCATTGGATTTATAAAAAGAAACTCGAGAGTATCAAATAGTTCCCTAATGATTACAACATTTATAAGATTCGGGTTTAAACTAAAGTGTTTCTGAAACAAAAACAAGTTATGAGGAACCAAAAAGTAATATTTTCTTAAAAATGGTGACGTTCTTGTCAAGTTTCACCTGTTTGAATCTAAACAAATGAAACAATTTCTTGAAACTTTGAGTTTAATTGAAAAAACAAACTAAAGTTTCAGTAATGTTTGGTAAATGTGTATGTTTCTACAGATGTTTTAATCATCACAACATAACTGATGCATGTTTAAAGACATGTCAGGTGTTTATAATCAAGTCTGTTCAAAATATTCAGGGTATTTTGAATCATCAGTTCACTTAGAATCAGAAGACAAAATATAAGTTATACACTTTTATATAATTCTGAGTTTTATTATTTAAAGTAAAGAAAGTGACACATTTGATGCGGACAGAACTGGCAAGAAAATGTTAAATTATTAACATAAACTTAAAAATAGTACCTTAACATTGTCACAGCACAAGTAAACTGGATCATTTCTATTTGTGTGTTTTATTGAATAAATTGAACATTTATTGTGACACCTGTGTGCCAAATATTAATTTAGCAAAGGATTTTAAAAAAGCGCAGACCAAGCTACATAAAGAGACACAATTTATGGATTAGTTCCCTAAACGCCCACAGCTGTGAGCTTTGAAATGTCAGAATATGTGAATTTATTTCAGTAATTTATGTTCATATTGCATGTTTTCATAATATTGTGCAACCTAATCCGTCAGGTGCAGCTCAGAGTTTACAGTTATTTACATTATTTCTTCTCATTCAGGCTCTGAACTATACCAGACCACTTTATTTATAGAGCACTTTAAACAGCGACAGGGCCAACCAAAGTGCGGTACAGACAGAAACAGACAGGTAACGCACACAGCAACACATAACGTCAAATCAAAATATAGAAACAAAATAATAGCAGATAATAACATAATGACGCAGTGTGATGCATACAGGGTCAGCGCAGATCGTGCAGTGTTGAAAGCCAGGGGATAGTAGTGGGTTTTTAAGCGGGATTTAAAAACGATGACGACGAGCTGAAGTGAAACGAGGTTCTGAGGCGTTTTCTGTTTGATTGAATTCTCCTTCCAAAAACAGACGTGTAGCCTCGTGAGTTGTTCAAGTGAATCGTTTTAAACTTCTTCTGGTTCTGGTTTCACAGAAACTCGTCTCAGCTGAGTTTTCCTAAATCCAGGTTGGCTTTGTGGGACGGCAGCCCCGCAGGAGAGAAGCTCCGCCTCCAGCTCTGCTCCCACAGGTAAACACACCTGCGAGATGCTCAGTCTGCGTTTATCCTCCTTCGCTGTAACTACGGTGGCCCAGAGGGTTTAGAGAATTGGTTTCTGTTTGATAACTGTTTTTGTGTTTCTCCGCAGGAAGCTGCAGGTTGTGCTCCTGGAAAAGGCTCTCCGTCTGGCACAGCGCAACGCCCGCCGCAGCAACAAGCCCCGCCCCCTCTGCTTCTTCCTGGGATCAGCGTCTGTGAGCAGAGGTCAGAGTTCACCTTGAAAGCAGGTTTGTTGATCCCTTGCTTCATGTCCTGAACCCAGCTGTGTCCTCGCAGACGAGGACGGTGTTGTCGTGACTCTGGACCGCTTTGACCCGGGTCGGGATCAGGCTGGGACTGCAGACCGGGTTCCATCAGCTCTCCTACCTGGAGACGTCCTGGTTCCCTGCTTGTTCTCGGTTCGGTCCGACGTGACGCCTGAGCCTGTCGTCCAGTCAGAGGCGGAGCTTCATCAGAGCTTTAAGGTTCCTGTTTTTATTTGTATCTACTTTATTTTTTGTTTTGATAATTTTTTTATCAACTGGTGCGCTGAAGCAGCCGCTCGGTGGTTTCGTTCTCTCAGGCTCTGCAGCAGTTCATGAGCAGCAGACAGGTTCTGGATCTGTCTCACCTCCTGAAGATCAGAGCTCGCCTGCTCGTCTCCCAGACCGCTGACGCCGCGGCGTTGAGCCTCAGCTGGTCCGCCGTCTGTCCCGCCGCTGGCGTGGACGTCCAGCCGGTCCGAGCCATCCCCATCATCCCCACCGCCCTGCTGAGGAGCCTGACCTGCGTGGGCCGCCCGCCGCAGCACGCCGGTCGGCAGAGAGGGTGAGCAGCCGCCAGCTCCGCCTCTCGACCGGGCGCAAAGTGTCGCTGACATGTTTCTGTTCTGGCAGGTTTCTGACCATGGATCAGACCCGGAAACTAGTCCTCCTGTTGGAGTCGGACCCTAAAGCCTCCAGCCTGCCGCTCGTTGGACTGTGAGTCCGGATCCCGTTCAGGTTTTATGTCCATTTGAACAGCTCTGATCGTGTTCTCGTCTTGTGACAGCTGGTTGAGTGGAGTCACGCACGTCTACAACCCTCAGGTGTGGGCCTGGTGTCTGAGGTTCATGTTTAGCTCCGCCCTCCAGGACAGGTGAGGCTCAGAGGCAGAACCGAAGACAGGTCCTCTGAAACCTTCTCCTGTGTCTGAAGCTTGTCGTCGTGTTTCAGGGTTCTGTCAGAGAGCGGGTGTTTCCTCCTCGTCGTGTTCGGGTCCACCCACAGAACTCCTCAGTTCTTCCAGTGTCGAGGGTCCAGACCTGGACCGCAGCCGGACTTCCAGCTGCTGAGCGGCTCCCAGTCTGCCACTCTTTACCAGGTACCAACTCCTTCTGGGTTCCAGAGTTCTGTTGTTCATGAAGGGAGCTGACCCGTGTTCCGTCAGCAGGTGGCGCCGGTGGAAGGTCGGGTTCTGACCTGCGACCTGGACCCTGAGGATAACAGCAGACAGGCCGAAGGGTTCCGGACGGCTCAGGAGTCCTTCAGCAGGTCCGGAGTTTTCCAGTAAACCTGCAGGAAGCAGTTCTGGTTCTGGTTCTGGTTCTGGACTGGACGCTAACGTTTCTGTGCTTCTGTCCTCAGAACGCCTCCAGACGCCGCTCGTGTCTCCGTCAGCGATCAGGACTCCGGAGTCGAGGACGAGGACTTTTCTCCTCGACCGTCTCCGAGCCCCCACGCCGCGGCGCCGCAGGTCAGAGGTCAACCTGACCCGTTGGACCCTCTGGGCTCTGGTGGAGTTCTGAGCCCAGAAATATTTGATGTCTTTGTGGTTTCAGGCTCGCAGGATCCAGCCGTCCGTTCCTGAGCTCTCCCTGTTGATTGACAGCAGCTTATCCTCCAATCACAGCTCGGCCCAGGACTCTAGCCCCGCCCTCAGGCCTCCTGCAGCAGCTGCTCCTTCCAGCTCCTCATCAGCCCCCAAACCTCCTCCTCACCTCCACAGCACACCAAACCCCCACCTGCAGCAGCCATGTTCTTGCTGCTCCTGCCACGCCCACAGCTGCACCCCTATTTTCGCCTCACCGATGCTCCTCGCTGCTCCTGCTCCTCCGCCTGCCTTCCATCAGCAAACTCATCCTTCTTCCATTCTACAATCTGCTCCTCATCCTTCTTCCATTCTACAATCTGCTCCTCATCACCTCCGTCCATCTACTCCTCCTGTTCCTCCTGCCTGCTCTCATCAACAAACACCTCCTTTATCCAGTCGTCACACTCCTCCACCTCCTTCCTTCTCCTATCAGCAGACTCCACCCCCTCTTGACTCTCATGTCACTCCTCCTTTGTATCATCTTCCTCCTTCCACCTCCCATTTATCTCCTCCAGTTCCTCTAATTTCCTCACACCAACAAACACCTCTTTTTTCCAGTCGACGCTCTGCTCCTCCCCCCTCCTCCTCCTCCCATCAGCAAACTCCACCTCCTTCCACCAACAGTCCATCTGTTCCTCCTGTTCCTTTAACCTCACACCAAAAAACGCCTCCTTGTTTCAGCCGTCACACTCCTCCTTCTTTCTTCTCTTATCAGCAGGCATCACCTCCTCCTGGCTCCCATCCCAATCCTCCTCCTCCTTTCTTACATAAAAATACTCTTCCTCCCTCCACCAACCGCCCTTCTACTCCTCCTGCTCCTCCAACCTCCTCGCACCAACAAACACCTCCTTTTCCCAGTCAACATACTGCTCCTCCTCTCTCCTCCCATCAGCACTCTCCACCTCCTTCCACCAACAGCCCATCTACTCCCATTCCTCCTGCCTCCTCCACCCATCAGCATTTTCCTCCATCACCTCCTCTTTCCACTCAGTCTCCTTCCACTCTCGTCTCTCCTGCTCCTTCCTGTCCCTGCAGCCACACCACTCCTCCTCTTCCTCCCTCTTGTTGCAGTGACTCCCCTTCTCCTCACCCCTCCCATCCTGCAGCAGCAGACCCCGTGTCCCCCTCCTGGCTCCCCCGTCCCTCCTGCTGCTGTGATAAAATGCGAGGAGTCGCATCATCAGACACCTACCAACTCCTGCTCCACCAGGACCGCCAGCTGCGCCTCCTGCAGGACCAGGTAAGACCTCCAGCTGCGCCTCCTGCAGGCCCAGGTAAGACCTCCTGCAGGCCCAGGTAACAAACCACGTTTACGATTTAATCTGCCGGAGAACGTTTGGAACGATGTGGATTTTAATCTTCGTGTTGGAGCCTCGAGGAGGTTTTTGGAGCGAGACATTGTGGCTGAAGCCTCCGGTGTCTCGGATCTCCTGCTGGAGTCAAAACTCGACTCCAGAGCTCCTGATGAGTGTCGCCGAAGGAGAAGACAATTCCTGGTGAATTTCTGGAAATTCAAATTTTTATTTTTATTTTGCAACAAAACTATTCACACTACTGGTCCCTACATGTCCCACTGGTCCCTACATGTCCCATCTGTCCCTACACGTCCAACCAGTCCCTACACGTCCCTACATGTCCCATCTATTCCTACACGTCCCATCTATTCCTACACGTCCCATCTGTCCCTACACGTCCCACTGGTCCCTACATGTCCCATCTGTCCCTACACGTCCCACTGGTCCCTACATGTCCCATCT